AGGGGGGGGGGGGGGGGGGGATATATACGAAAGCATGCGGTGGATAGCGGGAGTAAAGTAGGACAAAGCGGCGGTCCATGCGGTCGTTTTCAACGTGGGGGACAAGCAAAGTGCATTTCTCCTCCACGCGTCCAACCCCGGCGCGCGAGTCAATTTGCCGCACCCCATCCACTCTTACCGCCGGTTTGGCCTCTGCCCGCTCGGCAAAGCCGCGCCGAACCGCATCGCCATTCCCGCACTCCCGCCAATTCCCCAAACCCCCACCAGCACACCCTTACCGATCCGAGACATCCAGCAAACCCCTGATGAGCAAACAAAAACAACGACAAACGAAACCAATTGCAATGCGTGATGCGAAGGAAACAAATGCTCAGACTGGCAAGAACGACGAGGGGAAAAGTGGGGGCCAACCAAGAGCGGCGAAAAGCGGACGTGGATCTGGACACCGTCTAGGTCAAAGCAGGCTTAGCGGATGGAGCGGGAATGCGAGTCATTTGTCGGCGTGACCTCGTCGATGTGCAACTCGTCGTGCTCGTGCTCGTGGCGACGGGTGGGTGTGAGCCTGGGACTGTTGGCGGGCGAGGGCGAATGACTCCTTGCAAACTGCTCCGAGAGCTTGCGCAGCAGGCTAGGACGGTCGCCACTTCTGCTGGCTATACCGGACGCCTTCCACGCCGGCATCGGCATCGAATGTGCAGGGTCAGGAGCGACGCAAGACTGCGATGGTGGTGCCGCCACTTCTTGCAGCTCACCCAAAGCCGACACGCTGTGTACGCGCGGCTCAGACAGTCCGGCTGCCGAGGCGGAACGCATGCGCGACGGACGTCGAGACGCGGCCGTCGAAGAGGCACTGACGGCTGCGTCCGAGTCGGCCGCAGGTCTGGATCGGCCCGTCCAATGTGGTCTTTGATCTGCCCACGAGTCGGATAGATGGCTCGACGCCAGAGTGTGAGCGAGCTGGCCCACACCGTGCTGCTCGTGCTGAGGCACTGGCCAGGATGGAGCGACTCTTCCAAGGCTGCTCTCCTGACTGCTCGCACTCCATGTGCTTCGAAGCGACGCTGGCATCGCACCTGCAACATCCTGCGGTGCGGCCGCACCGGTGCTCGACGAAACGCTTGCCTGCCAGCGTTCGCCATTGGGATCCGAGTTGAGCGGGACGAAATTCGACAATTCGTCGCCCTCGTCCCTGGCGTGACCCGCAGAAGGAGTTTGGATGGCGATGCCCAATCCCATCCCCGCCGTCTCGGTACCAGTCGATGCCTCGGGCACAGGCGCAACCGTGCTGTGGAGCGCCCTCATCTCTTCTTGAAGCTGCAGCCACTCCTCGTCCGGCCCCTGATACGCCGAGAAGCGCAGGCTACCTGTGCCGGGCGTTTCGATGCAATCCACGAGTTTCTCGCCCGCATCGAGCGCACGAGCGCCAAAGACGAGTCGGATGGACTTGTGCAAAAAAATGCGTGGAGCTCTGGGCTGTCTGGCGGCTGCATCGGCGCGCGATCGGAAGCGCCTCGTGTCGGATCCCTCGAATCCTGCGAGGCTGTCCTGGCGTCGCGACTTGGTTGGCGGACAGCAGAACTGGAGATGGATGGCAAAGCGCAGAGCTTCCTTTGGCGATGTGCGCGATTGGCTCTGTGAGCCTTCGGAGGTGCCGAGGCGCGCGTCATCCAGGGCAGAGTCGGCTGCTGACAAGGGAGCTGGACGAACGACGGTCTTCTGCCGAACAAAGGTCTTGGTGCCCGGTTGCATGTCGGTAAGGTCGTAAGGCACGAGAAAGAGCTTGACCGCCGCCAGGTCCGGGTACTTGACGATGAGCTGGATCTGGCCTTTGGGCGGCACAGCATAGCCAGGAAACGATGGGACCTCGCCAGGCTCAGCATGAGTGGACGGGGAGGAGAAGCGCCTGGAGAGGAGCAGGCTGGTGTAGTGCGACTCGAGGTCGATGGTGCCTACGTAGGGACTGCCGAGCGCGGCGGTGGAGCCGGGAGTGGCAGTGCTGGCGCGAGCGTCGATGGCGTGAAAGTCGTAAAAGTGGGCGGCGAACTTGATGTGCAGATGCGGCGGACAGCGGAGCGACGGACGGCACTTGCCGGCGCCCAGCACGCCGACCTCGGCATCAAACACGAGCGGCTTGGATGCGGGCATCGACATGCGGCCGCTCAGCAGCGACTCCTGGAACGAGCCGACGAGGCTGCCAAAGTTGGGCGTGTGACCGGACGCGGCCGAAAAGCTGTGTCCGGACGAGCGCCGACGGGTGTTGATGGAGCGAGAAAAGCTGGACGACGCGAACGGCGGCGAGACTGCCAGCTCGTCAAAGGGAGCAGCGAGGCTTGGAGACCATACGGATGCGTTGGGGCTGCGCATCAGGCGCGCGGGTCCGCTGACGTGGCGAGAGGAGGAGTTGGGCGACACGACGGGATGGCCAAGGCCCAACGAGGCGGGCATCGTATCTGCCAGAGGGACGCGGCTGGCAAACTTGCGCATGCTCGGCAGATCCGGACGAGAAGGATCGATCGGCACGGCCGACGTGGGCTGTGCTGGCGATTTTTTTGGCCCAAAAGACTTGGATGCAGAGGTACGCTCGGAGCTCGAGTCAGCCTCGAGCGCCGACCGGCTCAGCGGGCTTGTCGGGAAGGCGCTGTAGAACGACATGGCAACCTCTTCGCAGCGATGGAAGTGTCGAGTGTTGCTTGTTCGTCGATGGTGTCCGATGGGGGATCAGCAACGCATGCTGTGCGATATGAAGGGGTCGGGCGGATAGCGATCCGCCGCAGCTGGAGTTCGAAAAAGCCTATTGCATCCTGAAGCAGACATAGACCCGCGAGAGACACAAAGCTTTGCGAGAGATGCGCATCCGCTTGTGCGCCTGCTCGAGTCTGCAATATGATCGGATTGGAGGATAGCGTCGAGGAGGTGGGGCAACAACAGAGAGGGTCTGGCGGTAAGAGCGTGCGGATAGCCAGACGCCAACCCTGATGCCCTCGAGCGGTGTGCATGAAAGTGCTGGGCCCGGGTCCCTGTGCAGCCGTGCAGCCGTGCAGCCGTGCAGCCGTGCAGTCCCGCAAAATGAGCCGCTGCTGTAGCGTGATTGCGAAATGTGGAAATGTGACTCACAGGTGCGGCTAGTGTGGAGGTATGCAATCGGGCCCGATTTCGTACACGCTCCAGCTCAAGTTGAAGCCCAAGCGAGCATGTGTGCCTGCATGCTCACGGTCACAAGATCAGGCGCTGCATCGCAATCCACTCGAGCTGAGGCTACAAGCCAAGCTAAGGCTGTGAGGGATCTGCAGTGTGCATCGGCGGAGTGCCAATTTTCTAAACGAAATTTCGCCCACCCCAGCCCAACACAGCCTGACGCTTTCGGACGGCTGAGTGTTGGCTGTTCCCCCCTTTTGTTGGCTCGGTTGGCTGAATCTTGGATCCAAGCGGGCGGCCATGCAGGGACCACGAAAATCGGGCCTCTGCCGCCTCACCCGCACAGCGTCGCTCAACGGCTCGCTTCGAAAGTTGACGTGCCAAAACAAGGCACGCTCGCATGGCCTGATCTTGCCTCGCCGTTGGGAATCCAACGTTGCCTCACCCGCATCCACATACACCATCGCCATCGCCATCGCCATCGCCAT